ACCTTTTAACAAATTCTTGAAGAAAATAGTGATTTGTGTGATGGAAGTCAAACAGATACAGGACGAACTGCTATTATCAACATTTAATAATTCTAGAAAAGGATACACCAATTATGCAAATGGCATATAGATGCAGTTCAGATAACCAACAATTTTTGCACCAAGAAATTGAAGATATGGAAAAGAAAGGAATTGTTAGAAAATCAAAGAGTCTATGGACCTCATCAGTTGTAATTGTAGCAAAGAAAACTGGAGATAAAAGAATATGCATCAATTACAGAAAATTGAATGTAGTCACAAAGAAAGATGCTTACCTTTACCTAGGATTGATGATATGCTAGAATTATTCAGAACAGCAAATTGGTTTACTACGTTAGACTTAACTAGTGGCTACTGGCAAATTGAAATAGAAGAGAAGAACAAAGAAAAGACTGCCTTTATTACTAATTTGGATTATATAAATTTAATGTAATGCCTTTTGGATTATGCAATGTCTCAAGAACCTTTCAAAGACTTATAAATTTTGTTCTACAACTATATGTAACTAAATTTGTCTTAATATATTTAAACAATATCATAATTTACTCAAAATCTTTTAAACAACATATTGATTATATTAAACAAGTCTTTTAAATATTAAGAGAAGCTAATTTGAGGATTAAACTGAAGAAATGTAGTTTCAGTATGCCTAACTTAACATTTCTAGGACATATAGTTGGAAGAAATAGTATTCAACCAGATTCAGCTAAAATTGAAAAAGTAAAAGACTTATCAATACCAAAAGATGTATTTCAAGTTCAATCAGCTTTAGGATTATTTTCTTATTATAGAAGGTTTATTAAGAATTTCTCATAAATTGCAAAGCCTATTAATACTTTGTTAAAGAAAGATCAAATATTTAAATGGACTGAAAAGCAACAAAATGCATTTAATAATTTAAAAAATTGTTTGATTAATACACCAATTTTATAATATCCAAATTTGATGAAACTTTCTATTTATATACTGATGCATCAGAAATAAGTTTGGGAGCTGTGTTAGCATAAAAAGATAAGAAGGAAAGAGAACATTCCATCGCTTATTCTAGTAGAAGTTTAACTTCAGCAGAAAAAAATTATTCAGTTACAGATCAAGAATGTCTAGTAATAGTATGGGCTATTCAACATTTTTACCATTATTTATGTATATCTAAATTTGAATTGATTACAGATCATTTAGCATTAAAATGATTACAAACATCTAAAATACCAAAAGGATGACATATTAGATGGATAATAGAATTACAATTTTACAACTATGCTATTTAGCATAGACTAGAAAAGCATAATGCAAATGCTGACGCCCTATTAAGAATTAATAACAAACAATCTGAAAAAGAAGATATTCGTGAAATTTTTATGATGTCCATCTGTAATAAAGAACCTGAAATTGAATGGCATTCTTCAACAAAAGAAAGTTTAACACCTAACCCTAAAGAATTATAGTTTGAGAAACAAGTATACCAACAATTTGCAAATGAATTATTAATTACAACTGTTGGATACTAATCGTCTAAGGATGAACTGGAAAATATCTATTGTAAATATATTAAAGTTAAACAAGTTATTGCTGGACAATCTATTATGAAAGGAAGATTTCAATGTACTCTTAATTGCGATACTGAGAATTATCAAGTTCATACCTATTGCAAAACTTGTAAAAAGAATCTACCTTATGAAACAGTTATTTATAATTGTATTGTAAGATATGGATTAAGGCAAATACAACCTGATATGAATCCTAACTACCTTTGCAATAATATGTTTTGAGAAGAACCACTAGCAGTATAATAACAAAATAAATAACATATATTATACCCATATTTTTAATTATTAAAAGACAGAATCATTACCACCAAATTTAATAGTAATAGAAAAATAAAGAATTAAATGACAATCAAAGAATTATATTATTAAATTTGATATTTTATATAAAGTAAAAATTATTACTCCTGAATGATTATTGAGAGTAATAAAATTAATGAGTTAGATGCTTTATTGTATATGGTATATAATGATCCTTTAGGAAGACATTTATTAACAGATAATGTATTTAACAAGATTAGAACGCAATATTATTGGCCTCAAATGTGTGAAAGTATATGAAAATATATGCAAAAATGTGATTCTTGTCAAAGAAGAGGAAAATACAAATGAACTGAATCTTTATACCTAATAAATGTAGGAAACCCATTTTATAGAATAAGTATTAATATTGTAGGACCTTTACCTATCACAGAAAGGAAAAATAGATATATTATAACAGCAATGGATTATATGATTAAATGATCTGAAACTAGAGCTTTATCAGAAGCTACTGTAAAACAAGTTGCTAATTTTATTTATGAAGATGTCATATGTCGATATGGATGCTCTTAAAAGATCTTATCTGATAGAGAAACTTATTTTAATAATCAATTAATCACAAGATTGATGAAAAGTTCCAGATCAAACATAATTTTTCAACTCCTTATCATTCTCAAACAAATGGTCTTATGGAATGATTTAATAGAACTTTAAGTGAATCCTTAGCAAAATTGATAATACATGATAAGGAATAAGATCTTTATATCGTACCAGTATTATTTGCTTATTACATAAGTTGACACTTAACTACAAAAATAACACCTTTTTATTTATTATATATAGAAGATCAGCAAAGTTACTTACTAATGATCCTCTAAATACGCAACTATATGATAATGTAAATACTAGAATTAAGGAATTGATAGATGATCTACCAGTCATAAGGTTTAAGGCTAAATTGCAGATTACAAATACAGTCAACTCTTATTATAACGAACTCTATATCCTAGACCTCAACTTCGCTATAAGGCTATAGTGAAGATTTTAAGAGATTTGATTGGCCAATTCGCTATAACAAGAGTATTTTTATTATATTTGTTCAAAAAATTCGTTATATTAAGAGTTCGCTATATCAAGAGTTGACTGTATGTTATAATTATTAGAATTTAACGTTAAGAGAATAAGTATTTTAATTTTTAATAGATTTTTTTTTTTCTTTTTTGTTAAAATAACTTAAAGAAGTTGAAAAAAAATTATTAATGATCACGCTTCTTTTAATTTAATAAAACTTTTTTATATATTAGTTTTGATCTTAAGTTCATTTACAATTTCAAGCTCATCTGATTTATGACGGTGACAAATAGACTTTTTTCAGATTATTTACTAAAATTAAACAACAAACCTACCTAAACCTAAAATAAGCTTAATATAATACTTACCTAACATCATCAATAATAGGGTCAAATAATATAAATCTCATTGTTTCATTTGCGTGATCATGTGGGTTATAACGTTACATTGATTATCACAGTGTAGTTTCCTAATCTTGATACATCCTTTATAAAGTTTGTCCTACCAAATTTATGATAATTTTTTTGCCGACCAAAAAAAAATATAACATGTGTGTTAATTTATAAACAAATAGATTCCTCCGAGTTTCAGGACTCATTTTATTGCATTTTTGCCTACAAAGTTTTTACTTTTTTTTTTTTTTTTTAATGTTAGAAAAAAAATTTTTCATAAATCAACGAATTCCCAATTTTTTTTGTTTATTTTTTGGCAGTTGGGCGTTTGGCGATCGGCCAAAATCAACGCCAATTGACAGAAAGGTAATAATCAATAATAATCCCTATAAGTTTTTTTTTGTAACCCGATTATACATGTATTGTCATGTATGTCACGTGCACAAAATAGTCGGTTATTCCGTAAAACATCCGTGTATACACGTTTTAGTTCAACAAGAAAAATTATTGGTAAATGCAAAAAAATACATAATAGATTGATGTTATATTGTTGTTTATCATATTCAAAATCGTTTAATTAAAAATTTGATCGGAAAAATTCGATACGCTTCTGAACACGATTAAAAAAGGAGTGTTCCGAATCATATCTGGCAAACTGCAACGTGAGTGATGGGTTTCATAATCAAGGAATACTCTTTAAAGTTAAATATGATATTTTAGAATGCGAACAAAATCTTGATTGAAATTACGCAATTTCATTTCATGCATAATAACAACCAAATGCGCTTAATATTGAATTTGAATCCTTGAAGAGTCGGCGCAGTTAATTCTTTTTTTTTTGTTTGAAAAAAATAAATCGATTTCGAATTCACATTATTCCATGAATACGATCTATAATATAATAAACTTTACAAGACAATGAAATTAATGTATCACAAAAGAAAATATATTTTTATTATTATTTTTTGATTACACTTGACAAAAAAAAAAATAAACCTATGGAAGAAAACATAAGGTATTTTGAAAATCCCGACAGCCATCAACACCAACACCAACACCAACACCATCTTTTAAGCAAGCCTTTTGTGCTTAAAGATTAAAAATCATGTGTTCGCACATGAATTTTTGAATGTTTTTCAGATTATACCAACTCCCGTCTTTCTGATGGATCCTATCAAAAAAAAAAAAAAAAAATATCCTGTTGGTACGTAATACGACACGTAACGTTCATATAAAATTCCACAATACCGTGTATCTTTCTTGCATCCAAGCCAGGAACCAGAAACATGAAATTGAGAGAAATTTCAGTATACGCTCCAAGATTATTCAAACGCTGATCATAAAATCACTTACCGAGCGTAAAAGGAGTAAAATTCAGGTGAATCCGATCATTCTACACATTCGACACCACCTTCATCCCTTCACCTCCTCTTTAAATTTCCAATAATTATAATAATACAAGTGGGTTAAACAACCAAATATATATATATACAGTATATAAGAATAAAGGAAAAAAAAAAAAGAAAAAAAAAAAATAAGCTAACCCAACCCTCTTTTATTAACAATGAACAAATGAAGTAATGAAAGAAAAACAAATATCAAAAAATACAAAAATATAAATAAATTCAATAAAAAAAAAAAATTTTAACCACGACGATTGCGTTAAACAAAATTTACCCTCTTTGAACGATTATTAAAAGTAACCAGTATCTTGGAAATAATAAGGATAAAAATGTCTCTTGCCCAAAACGATTTTGATTCTTGGTATAACCGTTAAAGCCTCCAAGATAGGTTCTAAATAAACTTCTCCTAATACCTTATTATCTATAAGGTATCTTAATTCAATGAAATGCTCAAGGTGATCAATATAATTCGTTAGGAATTCGGGAATATTTTGTTCAAGGATATTTTGTTGATGATATAGAGAAATTTTTTTAAGTGGGGATTCACAATGTAAGAATAAAAATTCCAAATCCTTTGGCAGGATTTCAAGTAAAAGGTCGAGCTGAAATAAACATTTTGGTAGAGATTCTGAAAATTCTAATATCGTGTCTCGATTAAAATAATGTTCGTGCCTACCAAAGAGCGTTAATTGTTGTAAACCTGATTTTGAAAGGTATTCAGGTAAAATGCCCGAAATATCTTCCTTTGCTTGAATAATTAAAGAATTTAAATTCAAGCATTGAATGACCGCTAAGCATAATTCTTCGGTGAAGGTACCTAAAGCTAATTTCTTCAAAGTTGAAGCACTTGATTCGATAATTGACCTTATTATATCAAGTCTAAAACTTATATCAGGTATCACTACGAATTGAGATATCATTGGTTTACCCCAAACGCAAAAATTTTTTAACCTACAATTCAAAGGAGGGATTTTAGAATAATATCGAACGTCAGGTTCTAAGAATCTTAGGATTTCTAAATTTGGGCAAGAATTTAAAAGTATCGCTAATTTTTCGTGAAAATGTGTGAGACGAATAAAGGAAAGTGATCTCAGATGTTGACTTTGACCTACTAGCGAGTCGTATATCGCATAAGTATCAGCTGGATTCCAAAATTCTCTAACAACGAATTCTTCAAGATTACGTTGAATTTTTAATAATTTCACCAATTGATAACCAGTCTCTCTCGTACGATTTACTGGTAAAATGATTTCTAAATATTTTATATTATGAGCATATTTTGTTATCACGGCAAAATTTTCAACCAAAGTAACTTGTTCTCGATTTTCAACGTAATTATAGTACCTTCCCTGTAAATCATGAATGATTTTGCAAGTTTGTAGTCTCTTTAAAGCATTCGAAGGTTCTTCAAAGTACGCTATATTTTGTGTATAAGAAAAGAAGATGATACAAAGGCTATCTAATCCATTACATCTTCTGAACAAAATATCTCCAATCGCCTTATCCAAATCAAAATGCCCAAGTCTTTCCCAAACTGTCTTCCAATGATACCTTTTCCATTTTGTCATGGCCTCTTGGAATCCAAAAGTGTCAAGACATTTTAGGAAAGTCGGATAATCGAATAAGGTTTTTTGTAAATCCGAGGGAAGAATCCACTTATTTACAATGTGCTTCTCATTATCAGGAAGGCAATTTAAATACGTTCTTATAAGTTGCCATCCATGATCATATTTTTGAACTTTTAAATATTCAAAGGGATTACTCCAAAGTAAAGGAATTGCAACGTGACACCATAACCTATTGACTAAAATACATTGATATAATGTTGTGGATTCATTTGTAAAGTTCTTCAAGATTTTTTCTAAACACTCTACGTTTAACTTATTGATGGGAGTATTTGTAAATGCTGCTTCTGCTGTTGTCACCGACGTATAAGTACAAGTTCTTTCCGGATCTTTTCCAACTAATAATTCGTCCAAATTAACCATAACGTTTTATAAATTTTTTTTTTTTTTTTTTAAATTAAACAAGGCCTGGGGACCAAGGAAAAAAAAATTTTTTTTTTTCCTAAATTATAAAGAGGGAAAAAAATTTTTTTTTTATTTGCAAACAAATAATCAACTATAAATAATGAACAATAAAAAAAAAAAATCCCATAAAGGAAATATGGCGTACCTCAGAAAATTACACAATATTAATCATAAGCCATATTGTGCAATCTTCACATAAATTCTGGTTCTGTCCTTATCCTCGTTCTAGATTTTCATAAGCTAACCTGTAATGAGTTCATAGTATGTAAGCTGTATAATGGGTAAGAGAAACTATTTGTATATTTATTTAAGATACATAAAGATATTTAAATAATCCAAAAACCTTCAAACATGAGAAAAATAATTATACGAACTACCTCCACAAGCTTCTTGCATTGTTTAGAAAATCAAATGTTCAGGAATTACACCTTGATCAATACTTTATTAGAGTTGAATTTAAATGAAAAAGTAAAATGATTTTTATAATCCGCAAGAATGAAAACGTGCTATAATCTGAGCGAAATATTAACTCGCATCAGTAAAAATTAATCATTATACGCAATCATGTACTGCTTATTTTTGTATTACATTGTTAAAAACATTTGGCATTACGTCATCGGATGCGACGTATTGTAATGTCTCAATCAAGTTTAGATTAAGGGATGTTTATAAACAGAATGTTGGAAAAAATATTTAATTAGAAAACAATTGTTTCACAGAATAAGTTATTTTATTGAACTTATTCTAAAAAAGAAAAATGTGATCTTAAGATAACAGAGAACGCCTCTTAAGCCAAAATTTTTATCTTCACGATTGGATAAAGCGCAATTAAATCATAGACCTTGTTTTGTTTAAATTATATTTCGCAAAAAAAAAAAAAGATTTTCAAGATTCTGTATGGAATTTGTGATCATATACCATGTGATGGATTATATTAGGAATAGATCTTGATAGATAAAGCCATAAAATGATAAATCTATTAAAATTTTGGGAAAGTATATATAATAACAATCAAGGAGACGATAATTCTTTTTAAATATATAAACATTTTATCTGGTATCTATGATAAAATTGGCAAGAGAAATAGATTTTTGTCATAATTATTAAAATGTAAATTAGAAAATTTTTTTCTAAAAATGTGGATATTTTTTCCCCTGCATTATTAACTTTAAGCGTACATGTCGTGCTTAACATAAATGTTTATTCGTTGAACATGATTTTCTTCCTAGGATGTGTTTTTGTAATCATCTACAAATTCACTTGCTCGAAAATGAATGGTTTGATTGGTTAAGTTACTTAAATTTTTGTAATTCCGTCACATCACCGGACATTTTTCATTTTTTTTTGTACATTTTGTCCTAAATATATCCTTTTCAATACAAAGTGAATTTGTAATAAATTTCTTTGTAAAATGCAGTAACTAAAGATGGTCACCGCAATTAAAAAAAATGGAACAACTTGTGGCGCAATTAAGTTGCAGTAATTATAGGATCTTTAGCAGTAACAATATTTTAAAAGCAAAATTTATAGTTATCTCTTTAATGGTTTTCCTTACTTATTAATTAAAGATAATATTAAATATATTAAAAATTATTTACCAAATATTAATATTTTTTTCATGTTTTGATTATTACCTTTTTGTTATTTAGGATCAAAATTTATCATTCTTTTTTGATAATGTATTTTCTATTTATTTAATATTTTATTCTTTTTTTATGATTAAAAATGTAAAACATTTTAACATAATATATATTATTAAAAATTATATCTTTATAAAACAAATAAAGATAATATAATTATTAAAAATGAAACTATAAATGATATATCACTATATAAATAATTATATTATATAGTGGTATACCTAAAGATGGTCCCCATAATTATTTTCAAATTTCAATTGAGTTGCAACTTAATTGCGCCATAAGGAAATTTAATTGC